TAAAGCGCCGCGCCGGGTAGAAAGAGACTCGTGCGCGCGGCATAAGGGTAGTTTACTACGAGCGTGTTAATTAAACAAAAAGCCACCTCGTATACCAAGCTAATTAGAGAGTGGTTCTCTTACCAGCGCGCGCACATGCACGTTCTCCGCTTCAAAAATATTTTCCGCCTGCACGTTCGCTCGTGGTTCGAGCCTTCTTTCTCCCCTCCTCGACTCTTCATCCTACCGGTGCCACTTTTACGTATGGACCTCGCTGTTACACGCATTTTTTCCCTTCTTTTCATCCCGCCTACTTTACTCTCCTCTTCTCTCTTCTCTCTCTCTCTCTCTCTCTCTTTCTCTCTTTCTCTCTCTCGTCAGTTAGAGGTATTTGAGACTTCACGGATGTTGCTCTCGGTTTACGCGGATGTCGTGCTGAAACGGTAACTCGCGTGATAAACAAATCTGTGGACTGAAAATGGGACAAAACAGAGGATGATGAAAGCATAGTTTTCAAAAAGAAAAAAAAAATAAATTTATTAAAACAATCTCTGCGAAATAAATATGTTGCAATGACAAATATACGAATGAAAAAGAAACAGCAGTGCTGTGAGTAAATATAATAAAATTGCATATTGTACAAAAAAATGTAAAAGTATCAAAAATATTTTGAGCTCTTACGTCGTTTTCCATTTTCAGACTGCATTTGTGGCTCGCCACATTTCCAACGCAATATTCGTCCTTTATGGATTTACTATTAATATCAAACGGAACTGGAAATGTGCTACGTATCAATCAAACGATTAACATTACATTTCTTGGAATTTTCACAAGGTCTCTGATTTATTAAAACACGCCATTTAACAGACGCCAAGATAAATCGCGAAAAGTCGTGCATGCGATTAATCAAGGAGATTTCCGTTTACCGTGCCAGTTTCATGACTCAGAGCCGCCGGAGCGGGCGAGATATATCGGCCTAAGCGGTCGAGGCGCCTAATTGAAAATAGGTGCTTTAACCTAAATGCGCTGTACAACGGTACGTTTCACTCGATTTAAGTACTCGGTTTGGTGGCGGTGGCAGATTTAGGGCGCGAACGGAGTAACCGCGATTAGAATCCGCTAACGCGGCCGCAAACAAACACCGCGAACGGACACGAGCGAGCGGGGCGCCGAGTCTGCGCCAGGCGAGATGCGAGAGAGGAACGGAGAGAGAAACGGCCGCCGGGATAACCGGCTGGAGTGAAACATCTGCGATCGGATTAGCGGTGGACATTGGCAACACTTCCGGGTGATTAGGCTGATTCCACATCGATCCTAAGTCCACGCTTACAACTGCATATCGCTCTGTATAGAGCGCACAGCTCGTCGCCGACAATTCGCAGCTACGGAGTCGACAGAGCCTCGCTCTCGTTCGCGCCTGCCACCGAAAATCCAATTGGCACGTACAACATTACACAAATATTTATTCGCGATGGTTGCGCCCCTCCGTCTGCTCGCTTCCTTTGCAGAAATTTCTCCTCTGATTCGCGTTAAAGACGATGAAGCTACGTGCTGTTGATTCTTTGCCGCATAATTTTGTTTTCGCGTTCTGCGTGTTCGCGCTTTGCATAGTTGATAATGAACTCTATATTTGTCGCGACTACTCGGATACTCCGCGATAAATGTAACGAGACACTTGGTGGAGATCTTCAAATAATTTCACACGAGCAAAGAGAAGTGCAATCTTTGTGAAATAATAATTGTATAAACATTCGGATTATTCGTATAAAAAGGGTAAACAGACGGAATGAGCGCGGAGTTCCCTTTTCCTCTATTGTACGCAACAGTGTGCTTTTTCATAAGCATTAAAGTGAAATGGAAAATGAGTTGATGCTCTTTGACGCTTGACGAATTACATAATTAATACGAATGAATCCGTCGCGCTCGGCGGAGACAAAAGAGATGAGTCGTGAGAGAGTCGCGGGAGCTCGCCCATCCCTTGGAACTCGGGGAAAAATAGAGAGACGCAGCTACGGGACGGCGTGAGAGATGAGAAAGGACGGAAAGGAAGGTACGCGGACGGAGGCAGTTTCCCGCGTAGTCCTCCGCTCTGTCGCAGTGCCGTATATTCCGCCGCCGGTGCGGTTGTACACGCGACGCCACTTTAACCCGGAGTCGTCCAACCCCGTCGCGTTTCTCTCTCTCTCTCTCTCTCTCTCTCCTTCATTCTCTGTCGCCCGAGTGAACTATAGGCACGGACCTACGGACCAGTGTATTTCGGTACAGAGGCAGTGGAAACCCAGTGTGGATGGCGTGTTGTTTTCCTCCTCGCGCATTCCCATTCTTCGTTCTCTCCTTCCGCTTTCCCGGTCCCCGACGGGCCGCGACTGGGAGGGAGAGTAGAGGCGACAGATTGCGAGATAGAGAGAGGGAAAGGCGAGACGCCTCGCTCTCGTCTTCTTCTTGTTCTTCATTCTTGTCTCGGGCTTTCCACCCGGAGGGGGGAACGGATGATAGTGATTCTCGTGCCAAGAGCCACTCGCTCGGGCCAAGCACAACTTGGCCGAAGCACAATCGAGTGAAAGTCGCGTCGCGTCTTTCGCCGAGGGGTGGCTTTTGGAGTGCGCGTAGGGTTGGCGAGGAGGAGGAAAAAAACACTTAACTCGAGCGAAGTGAAAGTCGGGAGCGGGAGAGAAAATAAGGACAAATTGACTGTCCCCGAATGGATGGGACGAAGAATTCACTTCGGGTGCGAATCGCGCGACGGAGAAAAGCGCCGGAGAGAGAATATACGGTGACTGAGTGCTGATCTTAGATTGCGGACGGGATGAGACTTACGAGGAGCAGACGGTTGCTACTCAGGGCTGGATTACGAGATAAATGTCCGTGCGGTAGGTAAGTTGCGAACGAGTGATAACTGACGAGCGACGTGATTAACCGCGGCATGAAGTTGCAGTGAAAAGAGGAATTAAATTGGCCGTTTCGAAGAAGATCGTAGTAAGAACGTCAATGCTAAACGATATTGCAATTATTTGCGAATAAAATGACTCATTTAAAAAGATAAACGTACAGACTCGGAGAGAAATGTTTGTTCGAAATTTGTGTCTAGTAATATCACAATATCATTTGTAGTATCATATTTTATTAAGGCGAAATGTACGTGTGGTTGATTACAATTTATCTACATTCAATTGTTCCGCTGATTAATATCTTGTAACGTCATGACATTGCCACGCAACAGATGTTAAAGCCCGCGATTGTAGCGATATAATCGGAGCGATCAAATCACTGTGGGATCGACGGGCAGTCAAATGTGTTCGACAATCATTTACTTTAAACGGATCGATTCAAACTGATTTCCAACTTCGTTAACCCACCATAATGGATAGATTGCAAACGCCGCAATATATACGCGATATATAATTAGACGCAGTTTTAAATCAACGCCTATCGGGCGCGGCGTAACGAGCGGCCGGACCGGGCTGTAGGAACGTCCTTTCGTTCTGATTCCAGAACTGTTCAATTTCCGCAGGTTGATTGAAATGAAATAATCATTATTGTTCGTACCATGATCATCTACGATACGCGGTTCTATCGCGCGCCGCAACCGCCTGGTATTTATAATGACCATTGTTTCCAAATGCACGAATTTCCATAACTGGCGATTCGATTGTCGCGGTGTAACCGCGTTCACAATTTACGCAAGAATAACATTTCCAGCTTGTCGAGCTGTTTGACTAACCGTCCCTCGATTGAAACGAAAAATGAGAAGCAAAAAGGGAGAAACTCAATCTGCAGTATCGCGGTGCCCGAAACGTGATAGCAATCGTGCTGGACGAGAAGAAAATCCCGATCAAGCTCACATAACGGTCGATCGTTCCCGCCTTAATAACGGCGCCGGTAATAATCGACGGTACGAATGCGCAGCACGATCTGAAACATAATTGCATCGCCGATAACGCATAGCCGCCCTCGTACTTTAATGTTTGCCTTCCGGGAAGCAGGACGATAGCTCGTAGAGATATCCGCGAATCGCCGGCGCGTAATGAAGGAATTTATGACGCGAATTGCTCGATGAAAATATACTACCATTGCCTCACGCGGCGGCCTCGCCAAACCCCTCTGCTCCCGTGTCGATGTCCTTTTTCTTCCTCTGCTTTAATCGACATAAATTCTAATTACGTTGCCGCGCGATGCGTTTTCGCGAAATCCCTTGGATTCCATTTGTTCTACGAGTTGTTACACGCTTTCGCAATATGTTGCTCGCGAACTAATTCGCGGCGTCGACGACGACGCCGTCGTCGTCGTAACCAGGCGTTGTTTCCTACGGCCGATTTATTAATGGTCGACGCACGTGTTCACGGCGACAGGAGTTCGCTTCGTTTCGTTTCCGAGAATGTTATTTCGCAAACGACGCGACCGCCGATGCAACGGCGTCCGCCGCTACTCGCCTACTCCCGAATGTCGTCATTCTGATGGAATTAAGCGCCGCGGCGTTTACAGCTGTGTCGCGAATACGAGATGGCATCCGAGAATCCAGTAACGTCAGCATGGCGAACGACGATTAGCTCGGCTGATCAGATTAATCTCTCCAGCATCGCCGGTTGTCTGAGTGAGAACCTGATCTGAGTGACGATTGCTTGCAGGAGAACGTTTTCAAAAGCAGCGCATGCTCTTTCGGTTATTTCAACAACAATGCGTCATCCTTTACTCGGACGAGAAATCGTTGAGGAAATTGCTCGATTTATTTATCTATGAATTACTTTTCTCATTCCTGTTTTTATCTTCCTCGTAGTTTAACATATCTTTCATTTATTTTGATAAATCTTTTTTGCGCTCATGTGCTCATTTTGCACTTCTAGTTTGCGATTGCTATTGTAAGTCGGATACGAATAAAATTTTTGCGGCATTCTTTTATTCTCTAATAGTTATGGAATCTAGGTTTTCATTATGCGTCTCATTCTTTGTTGCAGACCGGAAACAGCTACAAATCGCCGGAGGAATCGCCGCACACGGAGCACAGCAGATTGAGGTGAGTGAGAACAAAATGTATGCTATTGAGCGCAACAAAACCGAAGAAATAACAAATGCAACCTCCAGTAAAGTTGTAAGGAGGAAAAAGCGCTTAGATAAAAACGGTTACGACGCGATGACCAAAATACTTTTGAAGCAAACCGTGCTACAAGCTTTTCAAGCTGCGAATCACAATTTGCTACGGTATTTATAATTATTTACGAAATGTCAATGTTGAATGTATAAAAGAGGGCACATGAAAATTGTTAATTAATCCACAATTATTTTTGGACCGCAATGTACAAATGGGTCGCGAATAATAATAATAAATTTCTTACGTCGCTTCTCTTCGAGATTCGATAATTAACCGCGAAACACATGACAAGTATAGAACGCTGCGAAGATTGCTTGACGTAACTCGAACAACGCGTCAGTGGACCACGCCAAATGTCCGACGTCGAGAGATAAATTTCAGACCTCAGTAATTTCCTCGACGATGCTGCACGTCGAATGCGATTCGTGACGCATATCGCCCGCAAGTTGCACGCAGAGTCAACACTAAAATTACTGAGTGAATTCCTGCGATGCTTGAGGCCTTGCCAGGTCGATGTCGTGTAATCTATTTTGCAAAAACAAAAATCCGTATCCTGACGCGAGATAAAATGCCGCGACGTAGCGACTTTTGATGCGAATCAGCAGCCACCATTGTTAATTCGATATAGCAATTACTGGATCGATCGTTCGTTCGTTGTTAAAAGTCTGAACGGTCGCAAAACTTACACGATTAAATGATTTATCGTTTATTCAACAACATTTGAACAATAGATGATCGCCGAAGTGGCAAAATTTCGTCTTCTGTCAATCTTAAGTGAGTACAATTTTAACGCGTAAGTATTATCACTGTTAAATAATTCAAGAACAATCATACCAGAATTGCGATATTGACTTACGAAAATATCAAGTAGTATAAAAATGCCAATTCTTGATAGTATCAACTGAAATTGAAATTCAAACGGAGATGCCCCGAAATGCGATCCATAAAAACGACGAATAGAATAAAAAATATTATCGTTTTCCGCTGCCGAAGGTGGAAAGATTTTGCCGGACTAAGGAAATCTCATCCGCTGTATGCTCCATATCGGTACCATGTGATGGCCGGTATATTCACGTCTCGTAACCGTACTATCCGTTCCTTCGGCTGTTCTAAAAATGCGGTACCCCGCCCGTCGTTTTGCAAGCACGTTCCGGCTCGACGTGCGCTCGCCTGCATTCGAGTCGAAATTCATCAAATTCATCAAATTCCGAAATGCATTCTGTCACGTTAAATGTACTCGCACGAATTTAACGCGTTTCGTTATATTCTCCGACTTTTTTTTAGTCAATGTGCAAAAAATGCAGCGTATTTTAAATCAATCTTGTCTATATTTATGCAGTCGAAGGATTTATTTTATGAAAAAAATATTTGATATTATTAGAGACACATTATGCATCATGGTGTATTGATGGATTATCAAGAAGTGCGTATTTTAAAAGAAATGCCTACTATAAAATTTACTATAGCCAAAGTCGACCTATTTTGCACGTATGAATGGAATGCACCATGATCGCGGAATATTCATGCGTCCAGCACGCTTTTTTTTTTTTTTTTTTTTTATTATGGGCCGGCTGCGACAAAATTTATCCAACCGAATGAACAATCAGTCGGCAAGATCCGAAATCGATTGACAGCCTGTCGCACGTGCGATGCGTTTTTTTCCACTCTCGATCGCCGTATTATGCGCGCGGTGCAAGGATTGATGCTATCCCAAAATCGAACCGGCACATTAAATCCGCCTCGTTCGACCGAAATGCGCATCCATCTTGCGTTACGACCGACGGCGCTATTTCCCGCTCGATTGCGATACTTTTAATAGGGAATCGGAGCGTTTCGTGTTCGCGGTAATGCAACTTCGAGGGAAGCTCGAGCAAACGGAAACGATTATCTTTCATTACACCTGCGATTCCCAGGTACAATGTGTTCCAATTAATCGGCACAGTTGAGGTGGATGCTAGCGGGGGACGGGGAGATTGGTGTGAGGGCGTCATATCAATAGCGGATATATCGCGCGTTTTACGATTACGGATTTTCGCGAGTTGTTATTTTTAGGATCAATATTAATTAGTGACTGCGGAGCGTTGCTCAGCCTATACAGTGATACTTGTTGAGCGTTACATTTTTTTTCCGCTTGTAGGTTTTATGATGATTAAAGTTTCAATATCACGAATATAATCGAGTATGAAAGAGAAAAAGTTGCCGGAAAGGGAAAATAAATTACGCGAGAAATATGAAGAGGTTTCTGAATGAGCGACTGAATCGGCGGCTATACAAATTAAGAACAATTTATGAAATGTGGGATTTATAATTTCAAATTTGACTGATATTTGATGAGCAAGTTTTACGGTTCGTAGACGATGTCGTTATTGGTGCTCGTAACCGGAAGAGTCGAAGAATCAATATTGTCCAAGTTCGTCGTATTGAAGAGGACATAAAACTTTACGTTCAAATTCGGAGAAGAAGAAATTACTGGTATCAACTACGCGGTAAAACACCACCGCGGTTAAGAGTCCGTGGTGGCTCGCGATCGTCTATTATGTCGACGGCCAGGTGATAAATGAACGAATGAAAGAATGTTACAGGACTCCGCAATTCTTTTTCCGTCGGCTTTTTCACTCGGAAACCTCCCATCGCACTTTTTTTCGCCAAGTGCATCGTCCATCCGACGATGTGTTTCTCCGTTTTCATGCGTAAATTCGATGCGACGGAATTAATTGGTTGGCTGACTGCGTATTCTACCCGAATATCGCACAAGCTGTAAAATCTGCGATGTTACGCAAGAACATTTTTTTGCCGTCGCATTGTTACAATATATATATTGTATATATGTATATATTTTCTACATGTTTATACATATATATATATATAAACGTGGAAAATGTAAAAAAAACCTTTTTAATGATTATTTATCACAGGAGATTTTCAAGTCTTCATATTTGAAAACTGCACGCAAATATATTTACATAAAATTTTTTACTTTACGATTTTACAGCAACAATATTGCGAAGATATTTAGTTTCTGGTTGCAAGTTACAATTTAACAATCGTGCTTGTCGGGCAAGGCTGTTTACGGGCATCCATCGCGTTATCAAGCTTTCCCATTCGTGGAGCGTGTGAATCGTCCGTAACTTCTCATCGACCGCGCGTTTATACGCGCGCTTATACATTCTGACGGGGAGTTGAAACGCGCGAGGCGTGAAACGCCGACTAGCGCAACAACCACCCGCGAGTCGCAAGGTGCGAGCGTGTCAAATTCGCGGGCAATATTGCGGTATTGCGGCCAAAGGCGCAGCACGCCGTCAGCGCTTACGTCTGTTCGTTGTACAAATCTCTCGTTTGTATTCAATCCGCTGACACTTATTTTATGACAGCACCTCGATGCGATTTCCCGATAATCCGAGTCACTCGTATTCTCACACGCGGGCTTAAGGATAATCCGTTAAGTGCTACACAATTTTCTCACACCTCGTAAGCCGCGCGTGTCACGAGATTTTTATCCACCATACACGAAAGCACGGCAAACATGACGTGAATTCTATATCAGTTTTAAAGTATTTACAAACATTATAAACTTGAATTATTTAAATGCAGAGTTTAAAACTTTATTTTTTCACGATAAAAAATTATTATGTATTAATATTTAATTGATTATAATTTTATAAAAACAAGTAGTGTATTAAAAGAAATAAGGGTCGCGTTTTTCTTCCACGTGAATTCACGTGGAAAGATTAAAATAAAAATTGTCATTATTTTCTTTTTTTAAAATTCATTACATACAGAAATTGGTCAAACAATTTTGCGCAACATTAACGATATGAAAGTTAACATTCTGCAAATGAAATTGCGGATGAGAAGATACGCTTGGCGACTCGACTTTCGAAGTTACGGCCGTTCCACGCCAATGTACGTAATTGGCTGCCGACGCCGCGAACTTTTAATTGGTTCCAGCCGTACATCCGTTTCGGCTCTGGTCCGATGATTTTTCATCTTCGTTCGGCCGGAAATCGGCGTCAAAAATAATAAGCGCGACGTGCAGCGGTGGATGGCTCTCGCTACGAAATCGGCTAATCATATTTTCGTGCAAGGAATACGAGCACACGAGATGTTACCGGGTTAATTAATGCCGCAGTGCCAATTATACGCGCGCGCACGTAATTAATAACAAAATATTAATGACAATGGGCCGCGTAATAACAACTAGAAAATTTACAAATGCCACTCGTCGAGTATTAACGGATCATCGTTGATGCGACGGCCGACGAACGAAAATGAATCATTATGAGGCTTTTGTTGTAATAACGGGATTATCATCTCGTTATCAAGTGCTGTTTTTCAATTCAGCGAACGATGAACAAATGGACAAACGCGGGGAGTGTTCTCGCCGAAATTAATGAGCTCACTCTTATCTGCGTTTTATTCGTTGATTCAGGTAACCAAAGATTGGTACTTGAGTATCTCTCTGGAACCAAGTACTTATCGTATTCAGAATCGGCCAATTGGATTGAAAGAAAATATTATTTCAAGTATCATTTTGCATCTTCAATAGCTATTCTGCTCTTTATTTGCTACTCTTGCGAGAGTACCTTCTGATATTCATAAGAACACTTTTTATTTACAACGCATTTTTATTTTACAAGGCCTAGAACTTTACTGCGATGCATTGAAATCTTATATTCTAGAATTCTAGACTATTTTTTGTTTGAAATATACATGTATATATAATTTCAATGCATTATAATAAAGAAAATATACAGTTTTGAAGTTCTAACAAATATTATGATATAACATTATAAAGCATAAAAAGTATAATAGTAATACAAATTGTAAGAAGAAATATTTTATATTATTTTTATGCGGGATAGATAACATATTTTCCAGATAAATTCTAATCCTCTGCCGTGTTAAAATTAATATTGAAATGTTTA